TCCTGTAAATAAGAGATCGCAAGTCAATCATGCTTGGAATTTTCAATCATTAATACTTAGTCTCTTTCACTCAAAAAAAATACTTAGCCATTAAAAGGGAGGGAAGGAACGAAAAAATTTGAATAAGCTTGGTTTAAAAAATTAGAGGGGTGGGCTATAAAATATTGATAAAAAAATTTAACTTAAAAAAGAAAAATTAGTTAAAAATTTTCAATCTCACTTTTTAAATTTTTTTAAATGAAGCTTACTGAAAAAAATTTCTCGTTTATTTATTTATTTATTTTATATCAAACCATAGTTATTTACTGAAAAAATATTATTTACTGAAAAATAATAGGGTGGGTTTGGATGAAAACAAACCATAGTTTGGAGAATAGCTTTTGGAGAATAGATTCTGGGAAGAATAGATTTTGTAAAAAAGTGATTCTGAGAAGTGAGAGTGTTTGGATAGTTGTTATTAAAAGTACTTTTTCTATATACAAATTACTAAAAAAAACATAAGTTAATATGATAATTATATAAAAGATAAATTTTATGATATTTTAATTTGAAGGAATAAAATTGTTAATAATATATTTTTTACCAACATAATTAATAATACTTAAGATAATATAATTAATAAATAATTAATATGTGTATATATGTTTATAAGATATAAGGTTAAATATGTTTATAAAAAAATAATTGAGAAATGTTAAAGTCATATTATTGTTGAGATCTACTCTGACAAACACAATCATCTCTCCAATTTGAGCCAGAAACAGAATGAATTCACTTCTCCTGAAACCATGGTTTTGGATGGTTTTGGAATCCAAAACCATGGTTTCAGATTATTGATTCAAAATTGATGCTGTTTGGATGACATTTCACCAAAACCATGGTTTTACCTCCCAAACCATGGCTTTGAGGCCGTGTTTGGTAGGAGGGATTGGTTTTGATGGAATGGGAATGGTAATGGGATTGGGAATGGCAATGGTAATGGGATTGGGAATGGGATTTTTATTTTATGTTTGGTAGGAGGTAATGTGTGAAGGAATACATGCATTTATTTTATTTATAATAAGACATATAAAATTAAAAAATTATAATACCCCTTGGTGTTTTAGAGCTTGGGACTCCAACCTTATACACTCCTCTTGTAATAAAAAGAAAACCGCTTGATCATATATATTGTTTTAAAAATAAATACATCGTATCTCAACAAATTTATATACACAAAAAAGTAATAAAAAAATAATACTTCCTTAAAATTTATCCTGACGAATTATTAATAATTCCTTAAAATTATAAAATTTTTATTAGAAAAAGTTATCACTAGGTCTTTAAAATTATAATTTTGTTAAAATTTAGTAATGCGCTTTGAAATTAATAATATGTAAGATAAAAAAAGAAGAAGCAAATGACAGTTGTTACTGTAATTTTCTGTAATATAAGTTCAAGTAAGATAATCCACATCTTACTTTAAATAGTTATTAAAATATTCCTATCTAAAACAAAATATTTTAAGTCTTTAACAAAATATTCCTGTCTGAAATAAAATATTTCAAGCCTGTAACAAAAGATACATTTTGTCTTAACATTATTGTAATATGAGTATTTTTGTCTTTTATACATTTTAGTCCTAGGATTCAAACGCATTACTGGGGGGAATGTGGGATTGTATAATCCCACTAATGTGGCATTGCTCAATCCTGGTAATCTTTAATCCCTCCTACCAAACATGACAAAATCACCCAATCCCTCCTCCAATCCCATTCCCTCCCCCTCAATCCCTCCTACCAAACATGGCCTGAGGGTCACCCAAATAGATCCTTAGTCTGTCTAAATTAAGAGAAATGAGATCCATACTGCACATGGCATTGCCAGATATACACAGAAGGGTGACCGGCTTCTCGCTGTCCTACGCAGGAACTTCCTGAGTCCTGACAACTCCTGCGCAGGGGAGACCACAATTTCAGTTGGTTGATGGGATAATAATTTAGAAATATTGATCTACATAGCTACTACACACTTGATTATATTATATGGAAACCGAGAATTATATTTTTAACTTAAAACTTATATTTATAATAAAGACTCCTAACTTTTTAATTGTTTAAATCAATATTTATAATTTAGCTTTTAAAAAATTTATTATAAATGTAACCATCATTAATTCGTTCTTTAAGAATTTAAATTTCATTCTCCCTGTAGCCCCCTGGATATTGGATTCTTTTTGTGAGGACCGGAGTGAGTATCTTTCTAAACTAAGAATGTTGAATGGAATATGCCAACATCGCAATCCTAAGATGTTGAGTCTGCGTATTTATTTCTTCAAATTGATTTTCAATTTAAACTTTCGAAATATATATAACTTTTAGTCCTCTTTTTTTTTTTTAATGTTTTCGGGGACAACTTTTTCCAGTGCTATCTATGCTTTATCTTTCTTTATCTTTTTTTTTTTTCCCCCGGGTATCATTTATCTTTACTTTGCCTCAGCATGTTTTGCCGCCGAAATAGATACTGCTGTTGCAAAGTTCGCAACAAAAGCATAATGATTCTCCTTTCAACACTTTGTGGACATTGAGGTTTGGCTTGGAGGATTGGAAAAAAAGGGGATGAAAATAAGGGCAGATCGAGGATATTAGGAAAAGAAACTTTTAAAAATAATACTATTTTATTATTTTTGAGAACTTTTTCCTAGTATTTTTTTCTCATCCAAATCAAGGGTTAGATGATAATTAATTAAGATTTTCTTACTTTATTCCTATTACAAATTATTAGAAGGAGAATTTAATTCTTATTGAATGTTTTTGTATAACTCCTAAAATTGCTATGTTTTTCTCTGTCTTTTTTATTATATTGTCCTCTAAAGTATTGTTTTGGTTTTTTTTTTTTTAGGATGTTGAACATTTCTTAAACATTTTTTTTTAAAACATTGAATACTACAAAATATTTTAAATTGTTGATTGAATCATAAAATATTTTAGAATGCAAAACATACTTCAAAAAATACTCCATAATGCTAAATCTATTTCTTAAATTATTAGGATGCTAATGAGAGTAGAGAATATCAAATTTTTATATTTACGCTGGCAATTCTCTGATGCTCCCAGTTTTTCGGCCCTCCATGTTCCTATTTATATCAGCCACAACTTTTATTATTATTTTTTTTGAAAAAATTTAATAAAATATATATTTAAAATTTTAAAATCTCAAATCAGGAATGATTAAAAAATGTGTTGTTATTTATTTTCCCCCCAAACGGCATCAATGTTTATTAAAATGTGGTAAATAAGTCTGATTTAAAATTTTAAAATTTAAAAGTATTTTTTTGAATTTTTCTTTATTGTTTTTTGGGGGAAAAAAAAGAACAACCCCTTTTTACTCACGACAAGCAAGCATTGAAAGGCGAGCATCACCGACAAAAGGTTCAGATTCACGTGTTGCAATAAATTGAAACTCCAATAATTGAGCTTAATTCTGATTTCTGAGCTACAATTAATGGAACCCCAGGAATTGAATGTAGTTGTTAGGGGTAGAAACAGGGCAGGCTTCACCCTTAACAGACCTGGTCTGTAGTGAGGCCTGTTGGCTTGAGTCTGGCCTGCGGCCTGTGAAAGACCTTTTAATAGGCCTGAGCCTGGCCTGTAATCAGGTCTGGCCTGGCCTGTAACCTGTTAAGATGCCTGTTTTTTAACAAATTTTAAACATACATAAATCAATTCAAAATTACAATAATTCAACCTAATTTATCTAAAATACAAATAAAAAAATATGAAATTATCAAGTTAACACGATTTATAAAACATGTCCCCTTAAGCTAAAAAAAATCTAATATGAAAAATTATTAGAAAACATAATTTCACTTTGATATAAAAATATCACTTCATCCCATCTCTGGTATAAAAATTAGTTGATGACTAGATCTAGTTTAAAATATGAAACATCCTTAATTCCTTTTATATTTAAAATTTATCATTTATTCAAACTAATTTACTAACAAAATGATATTTGATCCTGTTGTTACACATGGTTGTTTATAAAAAAATGTTACATTTATTATAATTTATTTATTTATTTAAATTAATTAGGCAACTATTATAATAAGAATTATATTGAGCACACATATATATAGTCTAAAACATAATAGGTCAATTCTATATATATATTCTATATAAGATTAATATGAAAAACATGGATCAAATAAATAAATGATGCTTTTTTTTAACGCACTTATGTTTTCTTTCTCTGTTCAAATATGTATCATTATACATATATCAATTATTTTTATTATAGATAATGAAAATTAAATGAAGCATGCAATAGGCTCTAGATAACACATTTATGTGAATGGAGTTTTCTCAATTAACCAATCAGAATAGTAGATTCTCTCCTATCAATTTACAATTTTAACTTTAAAAAAAAAAAGATAATAGGCCCAGGCCGCCTGACAGGCCTAATAGGCTTACTATCAGGCTTGAGCTTGGCCTGATAAAGTAAACAGGCCTTTTTACAGACCTGAGCCTAGTCTGATATCTAAATAGACCAGACCAGGCCAGGCCATTTACAGACCAGGTCACAGGCTCCTGACAGGCCGCCTGGCCTATTTCCACTGGTCGTTGTTGTCATGTTTGACCGCATGAAACCCAAGAGTTTCCCCACTGCAACTCTACTCATGTTATGCCTAATTGGATATACTATCTTAGACACTTTTCCCCCCCTATAACCCTTTGGGTCGCTTGGGATATTTTTTTTAAAAAAGGTGGAATTTGAACCCAATTCACCCGCTACATGATGTGGCTAATCTGCCACTGGACCAAATTCCTTTGGATACTGTCTTGGATACTTTCTTTCTTTTCCTTATAAAAGATAATTAATCAAATTACAGTGATAAAAAATTAATTAGAAATGAAAAATATAACTTTTTTTAAGAATACCCTTATTTAGAGAGAAAGAGAGAGTACGTAAATGAGAAAATAAGCAAATCAATATGAGGTGTCTAATGATTTAGCCCCCACTTTTACTGAATGATGTTTAGTTTTCATAGCCTTATGACACTCTTAATTTTCGAAATCATATATGAAACTGTTTGGTATCAGAGTAGTACAGGGATGCTTTGTTCATTTCGAAAGAAATTGAAAGGATCAACTTTGGTTTTAATTCGAACCAACCTATGGAAGTTGTCCATGAAGTAATTCACACCATAAACTCTACCTTCTTGGTAGCAACTTTCAGCATGGTGGTTGATTCCCAAGTCAAGATCCTTATAGTTCAGGTATGCTGCTCGAGGCCTCTTCGAAACATAGTCAGTCATGAAGTCATGGAGTTTTCTTGTTAGTTCTACGTAATAATCTTCTACCTCTTTCCCTGCCTCGTGCCAGTTCCCTTGATATTGTATCTGCTCAATGTATTATACAAAATAAGTACAGAAATAAATCACAAATGATTTATAAATAATGCAGTATATTATAGATTTGATATCGAATAATCATTGATAAAGAATCATTCATCATCTTCATTTTAGATCTTAATTTTTTATAGTTGAAATAGTCTATTATTTTACACAGAGACAAGGACTCGTGACATCAAGTGAGCCCCCACCTGTCTTTCTCAGTGCAACTAGTGTTGCGTGACCATAGAAGAAGCATGTGGATTGTCTCTGTTTTTTTCCCCCCTTAAAAGAATTCACCTATAATAGTACTCCTTCAGTTCTTAATATAAGACTTAATTGTTGAGTTGATTTTGATTCTAAATATAAGATCTATTTATCAGTTTTTTCTAAATTATCTCTATTAATACTCCCTCAAGTATAATAAATTAAAGAGGGAAGAAAGATATTAAGGAAGATTATTATAATATTTTAGAAAAAAACACGTTATATTTCTTATAATTAACTAACTTACCTAACTTTCTTAATATAATCAAATTAGTTAAATAAATTTTATATTAAAAATTGGAGGAGTATTTGATAATTATATTGGACCCCAGCTAATTTAGTATCATGTGGGCCAATACTGACCCACGGCATCATATATTATGCTGATATGAACAGATACTACACTTGTCCCTAGCGAAAAGGGCAATAAAGGAACGCATCCCAACTAATTTGGGTCGTGCTGTGAGGACTACGAAAGGTGAGATTTTTTTTTTTTGACCAGAACACGAAAGGTGAGATTTAGTTTTGGCGCTCATCATGCTCTTCATTTTTAATGAGCACTGAAATCTGATCCATCAAAATTAAATTTCAATGGTTCAGATTTAATTTTTTTAGTATTTTTTGAGAAGGAAATTTTAATGTGTACAAAATCTAAATCCAAGATAAAAATAATATCTTGATTGTCATTGTCTAAAAAGATGATTTTTAAAAAGTAATTAGTAAAAAATTTTAAATTCAAATATTTTCGGTATAGATCTCATTATATATAGTGAAGAACACCATCACTTAAACTAACTCGCCAGCAACTGAGTTTAGTGTTTGTTAACTAATATTACTTTCTGTTCTAATTATAAAACTTTACTTATAGTCTATAAATGAGGTCTTATAATTAGAATCAGAAATAATAGTATATTGTGCACGCACATGAGTGGAGAAGACATCTATTAATGGTAATTATAATTAAATAGTTAAAAATTCCATCTATAAGCATAGCTTTTTGAATGGAAAAAATTACCAAAATAATTTTTAAATGTACCTTCCATAGGTACCCAGCTCGATGAGGGAAAGGAATTGCAGTGGCTGGAATCTCAGCCATTCGTCCACCATAAGGATTAAAGTACATAACAGCGTCCTTCAACTCAATCATCTTCTTCCAAATCTGTTCAAAACCTTCTTTGCTAATAGGTTCCTTAACGTAATCAGACTTCCTTTTCAAGTAATATACTAACTGAGGTGTCCTATCAAGTAAAATCTCCAAAGGCTTTGTAATATTAATGTTCGCCCAAAACAACACCGATCTAAGCCAACTTGTTTCTATACATTCCGATTGCTTCAAACCCAGTTCGGGAAAGCTCTGGTTCATAAGAGAAAGAAGCCTTTCGGAGTCCCCAAGGAACAAGGCTATGAATGTAATCCTCACAGTCTTGTTCTTACCATTTTCACTAGCATTAATCACTTCAATAATAACCCTGATGAAAAGGTCATTATCAATACTTGGAGCAACATGTTGCCACTTGTATGATATATCCGTGGCATTTTGTTCTAATGTCCTAGCAACTTCGAACACAGTGACAACCTCGGGGACTCGTACGAGCTTCAATTTGTACGAGATTACAACTCCGAAACTAGCTCCTCCACCACCTGTAATGGCCCAGAAAAGATCTTCGCCCATAGATTTTCTATCAAGTAATCTTCCATGAACATCGACTATTTGTGCATCGGCAACGTTGTCCGCCGACGTACCATATTTTCTCATCAGATTCCCATACCCAGCGCCACTAATATGTCCTCCGACACCAACTGTGGGACAGACCCCAGCTGGGAAGCCATGGATTTTGCTCTTCTCTGCTATTCTATAATAGACCTCGCCGAGAGTTGCTCCGGCTTGAACCGACGCCGTCTCGGTGTCTATATCGACGTCGATGGACCTGAGATTGAACATGTCGAGGATGAAGAAAGGGTTGTCGGATCTGTATGACGCGCCTTCATAGTCGTGTCCTCCGCTTCGGATCTTCATCTGTAAGTTGAGCTTTCGGCCACAAATAACGGCCGCCTGGACATGGGAAACATGTAAGGCAGTGAGAATAAGGTATGGTTTTCTGGTATATGAGTTGTTGATGAAACGGAGGTTTCTGATGTAGGCTTGTAATACTGTAGAGAAAGAGGCATTATCAGGAGTGAAAATCGCCGGAGTTATACGGTGAGAATGATCGGAATGATTGAGCAGGCAATGTATCAAATCGTTGTGAGAGGAGGAGGAAGAGGAAGAAGAAGAAGAAGAATCTGAGATTTGTGATGGTTGGTAAAGAAAGATGAGGATGGAAAGCAATGAGAGCAGTGGAGTTCTATCACTCATTTTGTGGGGAGTTATCTTATCTGAGTCATGTAAGGTTTTAAATGGGTAAACTTTTTCAAATATATATTTTACATTTACCCAAATTAAATTTCAAATTTTGTGCTTATATATTAATTTTTTAAGAAAAATTAATTTTCCGATCTTATAATTTCGATCCAATTAAAATACAATTTTCAAATCTTGACTGGGTAAACTCAGTTTTTTACAGTTTTAACCATTTAAAATATTAATTCTTAAATTTTAAATTAATAACTGAATTACATTCAAATTAAAATTATAGTATAGTTACATAAAGTCAAAGTTCAAAGACTAAATTACAATCGAGTTAAAATTATAAAAAGTAAAATCTTAATTTTTTTATTTTTTTTTATTGTTAATTGCATCTATTCAATGTTGCTCTAAACCACATTTTTGGCTTTAATTTTGGAGCTTCAGATCTTACCTACCCTTTCTTCAAGCCTTTACTATATCATGCACCTTCCAAAAGGCAAGGGAAAATTGCAGTTGATTTTTTTTTATGATAATTACTTTTTTTTTTTTTCAAGAAATGTATATTTGTAGAGTCGGTGGCTAGCTGAGACACTTTTGCGTACCTACCTCCACAAAAAAGGGGACCAGTCCCACCATTAATTTTTTTTAATTATTAATTTAAAAAACAAAATTGCACGTGCCACTGGCTCCGCCACTACTTTAGGTCCTACATGTAATGAGCAACGCTTTGAAAATTTTAGAACGATGGTGCTCAATTTCAAATTTTTCGTTCAACTCTTCCCTACTTTTTGTGTTAACTAGAAATATTTAATTAATTTTAAATTCTAATAAATTGTATTATTTAAGATAGCTCAATATTTATTTTTTATAGAAGTGTGTTTTTTTTATTCCTTCATATTGTATTCGAATTAAAGATGTGAAATTTAGGGGAAATATATGAAAATTTAAAATTATTTATTTATCTCTCCATTTAAACCCAAATTGACATAGTATTTTATGATACTTCTCATTTAATTTAATATATTCAAATTCCAATTAAAATATTATTAAAATTTAAAATTAATTATTAATTTCTTCATTTGAGTCTCCATTAAAATCTCATTTAATAATGATACTTCTCATTTAATTCAATATACCCAAATCCTAATCAAAATATTATTCAGATCTTATTATTAATTGAATATATTCGGATCCTATAATATCATACCCGACCCGTTTTAAGTGAATCGGGTATTACAAGTTTTCAAGAATATAATGATGTCTAGATAATTTCAATTTTATTTTATGTTTCTTTTCAAAAAGAAATAAGTATGAAAAAATAGACAAGAATAAAACGACAAATTGCGAAAATTTAATATATGTTTGTGTGGGTCCAAAGTAATAGCCAGCCATTGAGTGCCACAACTTATGAGAATAGAATCAATTTTAGATGCATTATATCCATTCAAATATATGTGGGGCCTACGCTGGATCAATTGTACTAATGAAGGATAATTTGGAGAAATTCTCAAGAGCTTTTGGAGGATCACATGATGATCCGTCTTCTTGGTGATCTAGTGATGCTAAATCGCACAATGAGGGTACATACATAAAAATATATATTTAATGCTAGGATTTTAATTTTCAATTAATTTCATTCTCTTCAACTCTTCGTCAAAACATATTTTATTAAAGAGATATGGTCAATTACTTATGATTTGAAATATATTTGACCGGGCAAAGTATAGATGGATGACATGGTATTACCTGAGAATAATATTGTCAGATAATTTCATTATATTTTACAATCCTGCAATTGTGAGAGTATTATTGACTCTACAAAGATCCAGCAACATAAATTAAAACTGTAGTTTAGCATTATAAATCAGTTTTGCCAACTTCTTTTCCTTTTAAATTGTGTATTGTGTATTATAATGCCGCCACCAATGATTTCTTAGGGTCAATGTCATGACGATGCTATTTTTTTATTTTTTTTATAAAACCTAAAGATGATTTGTATTATATTAATGATTTATATAAGTTCTTTAATTGAATATTAATCATCAGGAGATCTTTAGTATAGACGAGTGTCATTTGTACTGCTGATAACGTTTTCTTTGCCAATTTTATGATTCCTGAAACCAATTACCCTTGGCCTGGTTCTATTTATTACAAAACAGAAAGGAAAGATTTTGTATCCTATTTATAGGTTAAATGATTAAATTTTTAACATGAATATATTATTTTATCATTCATTTATTTTTGCTACATTGTTATTTTCCTGAAAATTGTATATACTAAATAGGGATAAAGTTGAAAAGCTATCAAATTTAAAGTAAAATTAATAAGGTTTAAAAATTTTATTAACTCTAATAAAATTTGTTAAAAGTGACTGATTGATACACAGGTCGAGAGAATTGTCTTACAATGACATTTAGGATAGATTCTACTTTGCTGAGACTAGACAAAGCCTCTAGGCGTATTAATGGCAACATATGTAAGGCCTCTTATGCTGGGCTCCATAATGAATGTCAATGGGCTTATGTTTATTGGGTCTTTTATTGGTAGGTCTGCTCATTATATTTACACAAAGAGAACTCCCAAATTCTTGTCTTAATTTTGTTTTTGTGTGTACCTGTATGTCATTGTTTCTATTAAGGTCCAATTTTGTTTTGAAAAGCTTTTGGGTTGGAACGCTAAGTATCCAGAAGATTTCCTATGATTAATATCATTCCAAAAGTTTAAAAAAAAGGAGCAAATTTGTCCTAATCGTTAGAAAACTAAAGGTTAAGGTCTCATTTTGCACCAAAAGTTTTTGCTCAAGAGTTGTGTATCTTGAAGTTATTTCCGGCTCAATGTCACTTTAGATGTTTCAAAATCCATAGCAATGTCGTCCTGCTATTAGAATTTGGTAAGTTGACTGCTAAATTAATGTTTTTGACCCACTATTGCTGATGTGGGTCTGTCACCGTCCACCTGTCAACTTACCTGACTCTCACTCTCCTCCCCTGCTTCTTCAGCTCTCAGCTCAAACTTGACAGACTCTATGGACCTTAAAGTTCTTATGGCTTGGCATTTTAAAATTCTATCATCAAAGCCACTTCCTTCCATGCTTTGTTTCTTTTAACGGTGACTCAACATATCGCCACATTTTCATCCTACAAACACTACAATGAAATGACTTTCAGCCACGATACAAAATCACACCGCTAAAAGTGTGATTTTTAGTGGTGGCTTTTTAGAATCGCCACTAAAAGTCAATTTTCAAAACTAAAACTTTTAACGGTGACTACTAATGTCGTCATTGAAAACGACTTTTAGCGGTGACAATTATTGTTGCCGTTGAAAGAAACTTTTAGTGGTGACTCAACATATCGCCATTGAAAGTACCTTTTAGCAGTAATATTTTTTGTCATCGCTAAAAGGTAGTTTCAAGTTTATTTTAACTTTGTATTATTAGTTTAAGTTTTTTGATAAAAAATATCATATTTAAGTAATAATTTTGTTCATTAATATGATTTATTATGACAAAATAAAGTATTTTTACATGTAATTGTATTAGAGAGAGAAAGAGAGGATTAGAGAGATAATATGGAGTGTGCGTGTGAGAGTAAGAGAGAGGGAAGGAGGAAAAAAGAGAGTGTGTATATGAAAGTGAGATATTATAATTATGTGCGTGTGAGAATTAAATAATCATGATAAACTTTATAATTAAATTGTATTATTTTTATATACTATTTTCATGTTTTATAATTATAAATATAAATATTAAAATAAATAATATAATAGCTTAAATAATTATAAATAAAAAATATAAAAAATAATATTGTATGGATTATGTTTTATACAAAATGGATATTATAAATAAATAATTAAATAAGACAACTAAATATAAATATTTAATAATAGTATTATTATTTAACAATATTTAATATAATAGGCAAGTGGTCCCTGAAAGTTTATTTTAAGGTTTTTTTTTTTAAAAAAAATGTCATATCTAGACAATAATTTTGTTTATTAATATGATTTGTTATGACAAAACAAAGTAATTTTTACATGTTATTGTGTTAGAGAGGGAGAGAAAGAGAGGGTTAGAGAGATAATATAGTATGTGCGAGAGTAAGAGAGAGGAAAGGAGGAAGAAATGAGTGTGTAAGTGAGATATTATAATTATATGCATGTGATAGAGTTAAATAATCATGATAAAATTTATAATAAAATTTTATTATTTTTATATACTATTTTCATATTTCATAATTATAAATATAAATATTAAAATAAATAATATAATAGCTTAAATAATTACAAATAAAAAATATAACAAATAATATTGTATGAATTATTTTTTTATACAAATGAATATTATAAATAAATATTTTAATCAAATAAGAAAATTAAATATAAATATTTAATAATAGTATTATTATTTAACAATATTTAATATAATAACATTTAGTAGTGGCTTTTTGTTACTGTCAAAGGACACTTCTAGCAGCGACATTTTTGGTCGTTGCTAAAGAGTAGTTTTAATCACCACTGAAAGTCTATTTCAATATTTTATTAATATTATAAATATATATTTAATTTTACAATAATTATCACCAAATTCATTCTAACTCAATGGTAAGAAGAAGGGACGTAGAAGGAGGCTAGGAGTTCAAACCATGGAAGTGTCATATTTATAATGATAATATCCAATTGGCGACGTGACGCGTCGAGGTGTGGGCACGTGGCATAGCGCGAGTGACGTGGTGACACTTGGCAAGCAACTGGCAATGATGTCGCTACAACAATGACTTGGCTGTCATCGCTCAAAACTTTTAGTGATCACTTTCAATAGCGACTTCTGTCATCCCTAAAAGTCAATTTTTTTATAGTGACAGTAGTGCCAAACAGGGTAGCAGGCATGAACGAAAAAGAACTGGATACAACCTAGTGAAGCTTTGCTCAAAACCAACTTTAATTTAAAGCTTACCTCTACTTCTTGCTGTAGTTAATTCTTGGTTTCTTTGAATTTTTCTCCTTGAATC